CTGCACATGAAGCCAGTGCAGGATTGGAACCTTATACTCTGCTATGATTAATCTACTTATTTGCGCTTCCTACCTTTAGGAGATAGCTGTAGCCTGATTTCCTGAAATAATATAGAGGACTCTTTACAAAAGACTCCTCATTTAAAATGTTGTTTGTCTAAGAACTGTTGTATTTAGAATGCCTTTTTAATTACAAGTCACTCTGGGATATGCCAGGATGGCAGTAATTATGTATTTTATTACCGTTATCGGAAAGCGAATCTTAAACTTAACACTGTTGGAAAACAATATATTTGGTTAGAATATTCAGCATACATTTTCTATAAATGACAATTTTAATTTGTAATTAAGTGAAAATGATATAAAACATTTTTTAATCAGAGTAGAAAAATATCTCATCTTTAAAGACAAAAAAGATGCAGAAGTATGTAAAAAAAAAAATGCAGAGGGAAAAGCCTACAAGAGAGATTCAGTGATTTAAAACAAAAATATTTGATTTCTTAAGATCAGAGGTAACCCAGGAGTTTAGTCACTTTACAATTAGTGCCTAGAGACCAAACAGCAGTTGTTACCATTTCCTTTTTGTCAATCAGGTTCTACCAGTTTTAACAGAGCCGTCGACACTTTGAATACCCCTAATATCCACCGAGACCCCCAGGGAGACCTTAGTGAAGGATGGAATGTTACAGCAAAGACTTTTTATGATTCTTCTTTTCCCACAAAACATGTAAGTCAATTAAAAATATTGCGAACCAGACCTCAGTGAGCTAATTCCACAGATATTTGTACAACTGTACACATCTGGATACTTTAAGACTTAGTCACTCTCCAAAATAATATCAAAAGGGCAACAAGGCACCGTTTTTCACAATTAAGGCTGATAGAAAGCAGTAGGAAAAAGTCACAACATATGAATCAAACAGATGCTAACCAGTCTGTTTGGGAGGGGATGAAGAGAGTAGTTCATTGTGTACCCTAATAAAAATCATCACCTATACTTAAAGGAGCTCTTTCAAAGAGGGGGAAAAAAAAGGAAAGAAACAAAATAATTATGTAAAAGTATAAAAACATTGTTTCCTCTTATTACTTGATAGGACCATGTTTAAAGGAATTGTGAAAGACTGAGAAGGTAGCGTATGTATGAGTTACAGCCTACCTGTTTATTCTATGCTACAGTTACATGATGTCATATATAGAGTTGTTGTTTAGTAGGATGATATTACGCTAATGTGTAACAGCAGAGAATTAAAAAGAACCTTAGTGTTCCCCTGTAAGGAAGCTTCATTCAGAATGGCCCTAGCAATGGCTCATACTGCACTTTTAGGTCTGTGTCAGACTGCAGAGCTTGAACAGCTAGAACTGCTTTATTAGGACTCGACCTAATGCTAAAAATTATTCAAAAGCAATACGGTAACTTACAACTGGAGTTGAGCTTCCTTTGTAGAAGTTCTAGAACTATTTCTCAGGTAGCTATGGCTGTTGTCTTCGGATGAGGTTTGAGGTCAGGCAGTGTAGTGTTTTCAAGTAACAAGGCTGGCTGACTTCAGCAGCCTTCCTCAGCTCTCAGGCCATTCACAGTCTGAAGCTCGAAGTGAAGACTGACATTTCCAATGACTCGGCTTTCCTAACAGGATTCTACTTGGCAGTGACAGTGAGGTGGATATTTCACCAAACACAGAGGTGGTATTTACTGTGTATCTTATGCTTTTTCTCACTGAGGTGGAGCTAATACAAAGGTATAGTTCGTTATGTGATTGTGGTTATATCTACTTTGTCACCCCCAAACAAAAGGTCCCTGTGTCATGGCTAAGTAAAACATGAGGTGGACAAGAACACCATGTCTTGCTGGTTTGCCATTAGATTATTTTCCAAATACTTAATCTATGAAATCTCAGCCTGGGATGTCACATACACCTCCCTTCCTTCTCTGTTCGTGTCATTCTAATATCTTCTGTCCTCAAATTTGTCATTTTTATGACAGATGAAAAAGCTGTTGGGAGATGAAGAATAGGCTCAGCAGTCTTTTCCACTGCTCAGTTAATTTGCTTTGACTAACACGTATGATCATAACTAGAGCAGACTTACACCTTCTGCAATTTGGGTATTCTCATTCAACCACTGTATAGGGCTCAAAAAGGTCATAAAAATTAAAAAAAAACTACAGGTGCATTTAAAATTCTAGTTAAAATATGAAGAACTGTTTTAAATATCAGTCTGTACAGGCCTGAGTACCAAGGTCAGGATCAATAAGCTTCCTCAGCTCAGTTTAGACCCAAGTCCCTAACTGTGCAGTCATGCTACTCAACAGTGAATGGTTTTTACACGTGTCCTGTAGGTTGCCATATTACTCAGTGCTGGCAGTGAGACACAATTTACTTAGATTTCATCATGAAAATGACAAGGCCTTTTAGTTTGACAGTTGAAATTAATTTTTTTTAAAGCTTTATTCTAAACCCATTGTCACAGAACTGTATTAAAATGCTAAATATATTTCCTAACTGCAATTACTTCTCCAAATAGGTCCAAACACTTGTTGTCTTCAGTAAAATCCAAGTAACATGGTATGGCTTAAATTCACTAAAAATTTTCACTTCCACATATAAAAGACCTAAATGAAATTCTCTTGGATTATTGGTAGAGGACAAATGCTGTCCCAGATGCTAGTCTACAGAGATTTTGAGTAGTGGCTTGTGATTGTGATCTGTTTCTTTCTGACGCCTTGGGAAAGAGCATGGGAGAGTGTACGTGTACAGCCACTTGCCTTAGCGTGAAAGATTTTATTGCTCAAATGAAGTTCCTTCCTCACTGAAATGGAGAACAGTCATCATTGACCTGAAGCATCAGTACCTCAGCTGCGTGGCAGTAACCTTGTTCCAGAAGCAACAGGCTAAGCAAACAATTTTGAATGAAACTTATGGTTCGCATTTCAAACCTCAAGAAATGCTTTGAGAGGAATCTACCCTGGCGTTCAACCCGTCTCGGCGTGACGGCAGGGATGGCCAGGAAGCACTGCCAGGCTGGCTCTGGGTGCAGCTGCGTGCTGCCCTCCCCGAGGGCCACACGACCTGGGGTCGCCCACGGAGAACTCGGTGCTCGGGCAAAAACCTGTTTCCCTGCTGCATTTGATTTGGATAGATATGAAGTATCTATCAAATAGTCGTTAAAACTATTCAGGGGACAAAAAGATCTTTAACATAAAACCCCCAACCTAACAGACCTTCCTTGCATGATTTAACGATGTTTGCTTTGTAATCTGTAGAGCAGCGAAGCAGAGAGGGAGTTAACACTATAAACCTCATGATTTTGGGTTTTGTTAATCAAATGCCGGCATAGCAATAGAAATGTCAGTTCCAACATTAAACTGTTTAAACAAACTATTTATTTTGCCAATCTGCATTCTAGCACAGGGTCCCTTTTTTTAATCATACTCTAAGTCTTAAGGGTTAGCTTATAAAAGTGTATTTATCATTATCAGGTTTTCTAAATTAAAGCTGGAGCAGGCACTTCAAATTAATTGTTTTCCAATTTACTTTTCTTTCTGTTCACATTTCCTTGCTTGCTTAATGCTCAGCAAAATCCAACAATTCAAACATTTGTACCTGAATTTCACTGAATTAACTGCTAATTTTGTGTTCTGTCAGGTGAAAGAAGGATTTACTGCTTCACAGCATGAGCAGAAGTCTTCTCAACTGACTGTAACTCCAGAAACAAGTGAAATCTCCAAGTGCGCTGACAACAGCTCTTCTATTCCCAACTCCACTATACAAAACCAGATAGAAGAAATTGAGAAAATTCTGAATTTGGAGAGACTTCATTCAGCAAGAAAAAGAAAATATGAAGGCCAGTAAAGATCAGAGGCAGGCGATTAAAAGCATGTCTGTGTTTAAAAGGCACAGATAAATCACTTGTGCAAACGAGATTCATAGAGGTATTCCTAGAGAATATGGATTCCTATAGTGTGTGCTTTCCTGTTCAATACAGCATACAGACCTTTTAGATGTTCAAAAGTTGATACCATTACTACTAATAGCATTAATTCTGTTTTTGCAATCCAATCCAAGTTTTTATGGGTTTTGCCTGTAGTTCAAAAGTTCACAAGTTAATGGATATTAAAACATGAAGTAAAATTAAACAATTACTTAAGAGTATCCTTCTGCTTCCCATGAGTTTTGACTGAAATACTTGTTTGGTTTCTGTCAGACTGCTCACTCAGTTTGCAAGCAAAATCAGCTGCAACTGTTTCAAAAAACAGTGGTTTCTATAAACATTTACAACTTGCAGCAGTTCTAAGTGCAGAAGAACAGGAGAATCTTCTGCATACCTTTCTGCCAAATTATTTAGATATATCTGTTGCAGTAAGACCTCTTTCAGCACTAAAGCATCAGGTATGACTTACACAGGTAAGGCAGCAGATACTGCTTCACTTCTAACTGGTTCACATTTTCCTCACTTTGGGTATAAGGGAAATTTTCTCTTACATTACAATTGCTTGTGCTATCATTTTTCTCTCTCCCCTTCCTCCCCACCCCTACTGTAAGGAAAGATCCTCAGGTTATAAACTGAAGAATGAAAGAAGCATAACCAGTATTGCTACTGTTAGTTGTTGCTAATTATGTAAGAAAATCAACGGAAGATTTTTTCCCACATTCGTTTTATTGCCTTTTTTTGTGTTGAAATTTAGAGTATTTAGCGCCATTAATCCAATTGCATACATTTTGGAAACATTCACAAATTGTCAAAGTTTTGAATAAATTTTATCTATAATGCCATAACTAGGTAAAAAAAAAGTTAGGTGTCTGAGAGACTGAGGAGACTGTTTTTCACTTGATTCAAGTTTTGTTTCCAGGTGTTTAGAGTGTCATACAATTGCTGCCATTGCTGCTTCCCAAAAGTCCGATGTGTGCTGTGACTAGAGAAGTAAAACAAAATTGGAAGATGGTTACTAGATGTCATGCTCACCTAACAATCCTTACATAGCATTATTTTACTCTCACAAGTGAAGAGGAAAATTTTAATTTTCTCTATATAAAGAACTGCACTTTACCAGTATGAGAATTCTGTAGCCTTCCCAAATATTTAAAGCAACAACGGTCATTAGTATTCTCGTCACTATTAGGTCATTAAATGAAATGTGCTGGAAAATAGGACTCTTTCATTAAATAAGCTAATCACATTCAGTGTGAGCTTTAATAAAATTATGATAAATAGCAACTATTTAACTACCAGCAACTGCTAAGAACAATACCTTGCTTCTAGTTAAAATATTCTACAAATGTAAGTGAAATAATTAGAACACACTACATTCTGCAAAATGCTATGGAGAATTAAGTCTTACCTGACAACTACTTTCCTCTGTGTCTGATCTATTTTGCAGTATACCATCTTTGTCTTTACAGCTGCAAGAAAAGCAATGCTGTTTTGAGCCATGTTTTAAAGATAGTGCAAAGGTATACACTACATAAAAATGGTTCAAAATGAGACTAATACAAACACACACAACAGTTCACTCCATATTGTTTTGCTGTTGTTTTTAACAGTCTAGTACGCAGGAAAGCAAAATGATGTAACAAGATGAAGGTCATGCATGAATCGTATTCTTTGGTGCCAATCTATTAAAGCAATATCCTGTACAATTTTCATTAACTTCTCTCCCCTACAAACATCCTGTTTTAATGACAGAAAACAAAGCCAAATGACAAATTAAACCTGGAAACAGTTTATTAGTTCTATAAAGAATTACGTGAAATACAGTTCCAGTCACTGAAAAGAAAGTTTAAAAGACAACAGTTAGGCGTGTCTTTAAGCATGAAGTTTTGCAGCTCTATCTTTTAACAAATAAATTAAAAATGAGTAGTTCTTACCATCAATAACAAATGCTTCTACATCATCAGCTCCAATCTGAAGTTCCTGTTGCATTGTCTCAAATGATATTTCTTTATTCTCTACAGCCATTCCCATGAAAGTAAGTAGCCTCATTTTTGCCATATTGTGTTCATGCAACAAGCCTGTACAAGGTGTTGATAGTTTATGGGTATTAATGATAATTCAGTAATTCATTAATTTGTTTTTCGTTATTTATGCTACATGTGCTTCTAGTAACTTAAAATCTATATTTCACATCAAGAAAATATTCAACCTGTCCTTAGCATTTTTTTTTTAGGGGGGGAGCATTAATTCCTGCATCTCCCTTGTGCTTTCCTAAAATAGCTCATTTAGCTGTGAATTCATCAAGACTCATTTATTACCTTTTACTGACAATGACTATCTACAAAAACGAAGCACAGAGATTTTTTTAAACAGTAAAAACATCACCTTCACAGAATTTTTGCTGGTGAGGGTGCAAATCAGTTTTTCTGTTGCACCATCTGGAAGAACAGCAATGCAACAGCAAAGGGAGAATACACAACTGGTAATATCAAAACTTACTGTCTTCTCCAGAAGTTGCTTGAAGATACAACATCTCTCAGTAACAGCTTAACAACATAGCATTTTTGTGCCAAAAGAATGTGTTTTGGCACAGAATTAACTGTTTATACCACAGAAAAAATACGAGTCACATGCATGTCTAGAGCACCTGGCATGGCAAAAAAAGTGTTCTTCAAGAATAGAGGAACAGATGTTAGAAGTTAGGTGAGGTCTTTTACATCATTGTATTAATAGCAACAGAAGGAATTGAGCCAAGGGCTTGAACATGTAAATCAGAAACCATTTTCCTGAAAAAAGGTCTACGTCAAGAAAGTTAAGACATTCAGATGGACCAGAGCATTTCATAATCCAAGTTCTATGAGGTACCTACTGAGATGCAGTGGAAGTTTCTTTAAAATGAATGTCATTCATTTTGTTTTGGAATGACATTATAAACATTCAGATGGCTTCAGTAAATATTTGGAATTTATAACATCCATACGCTAATAGGAAAGCACATTAGTGTAGGACACCATGTTGTGTTAATTAGCTGTAATTATGATGCAGGTTCCCTATTTGGCACCGATTCAACAAAAATGTGATCACCATAATTCATACGAACGAGGAGCATCAGCAACTCTACCTAACTGGGTTTAATGGAACTCTACAAGCATCAAAAAATCAATTAGCACACAGTAACCCTAATTAACAAATGCAAATGAGCTGCTGATTATCTTTCCTAAAAGACTGCTGGTAACACCAGATTAGATGTGGACATGTTAGGGCGATTCAGTTGACACAGATAATGCTACTGCTGGCCTAAGTTGTCAGCATTAATAAAACAACAGATTGTAATGAACGGATGCCACCTGTCGGAGCCTTCAGAGGCTAGTTTTAATTGGTCCTGATCCAGGGAAGGTAAGAACTAAAGCTGATGCTGTACTGTCACTGAAATCCTATTATTAATAGCCTTTCTTTTCATGCCCAATAGGCAATTTTTTAAAAAAATACATCTTTGAAGCTGCATATTCTGAAGAATTTTTAACTGCCTTATCTAATAGAACAGTATTGTTTTCTATACCAAACTGTCTTTGTTTTCTTAAGGCACAGCTGAAATGCTTGGACCAAGTTCCTAGCACTCCAGTGTGCTCTGACCCTGAATCTCTCTACCTTGTCCACTGCTCGGAGACACTCAGAATTTCCTGAGTACACTATAAAGCAGGTGAGAAATCAAGATAACTTGCATTAAGGCCGTCTTTCAGGACGGTTACACAGATATTTATGGATTTTACTATGAGCACGTGAATCCTAGATACACTGAAAATGCACAGGCTGCATATTCACAGAGGTAAACACAGATACATGGAGGCAAAGCTAAAGAAATCGTGACCATTGCATACTATCTGATTACTTATCTGTATATATGCGAGTAATCTTCCATAAATTTATTCAAATGTTAGTGTAACAGCATGTTCAGCAAATACTGCTGTGGACAAATAACTAACAGATACATCATTTCAATACATAAAAATAACTACAATACAAAACCCACTTTCCCCTATGAAAGGCAAGTATGCCTACATAACTAGTGTTCAGATACACAGGGCAAAAGGTATGCTTACCCTATATACACAAACTACCAAAAACTTGCCAATTTTATCCACAGAAAAAAATCACACTGATATTTCTATCATCTTAATACCCAAAGTACCAGCATTTTAAAGCACTGAGGGTAATTATTCTCAGAATTATACCACACTCCATTAAACAAAATAATGCATGTGTTAAAAGGCTGTACTAAACTCTGTTTTAGCAAAACTGTCTTTCCTCAGATGCATTCAGCCAGTGTTCAAGTGTCATTTCAAAATCAAAGTTATAAAAAAAACCCCTGATTTTTATAGAAACACTTATTCATTACCAATATGTCAAAACCTTAATGCAGTAATAAAAAAATCTGCATCATTGAGCAATTTCTGCATTGTCACTGACCCCTGTCCTAAAAAGCTGGAATATAAAAAACGTAATTTTAATGCATGCAATAGCTTATGAACCAGTGCTCCTTTGAAACAGTCAATTACACATCCACGGGGGAGTGTCAAAGTGTTAATTACTACTCCTTTTTTCCTCAGTGTGTAAATAAAGAGGGTGCTGACATTAACATTCCATCACATTGCTTCATGTTATGAAACAAATTAACTGGGACAGACTGGCTTGCTAGGTCTAATGCATCAGCACACACAGACACACGCACACACTATTTGCATGGTTTATCTTACTATTCAGATGTACATGCTGTTATAAAATTGTAAGAGATCTATACAAGCTGCTGGCTTACTTAATATAAAGTTGTGATCTGACCTAGCCTAGACTATCAGTGCACCAAAACTCCCCTCCCAAAAGGTTTAATAGAAAAGTGAGTAAAAAACCAGTTCTCTTCCTAACC